TTATGCAATAAGCAGTGTTCATCGTAAGTGATTGTGGTAGAAATGGTTTATCCACAAGGCTACCCTGACACTATTAACATTTTGAGTACTTTTTACAATAATTTTTGGTTTTCATTATATCCACATCAAAGAACGAATTTATTGGGGAGTTTGTAAGGAAATTATATTCTTATTACTTGAAACTCATGATATAAATATTGTATCTACAGATTTAAACATGGAGGATGTTACAATGTTAACTGATAGGTCGATTATTTATAATTTAACTCCTATATGTAGAGATTTATCGCACCACTTTACCAGTTATGGTTGCGGGTTCGATTCTTACAAGATACAAACGTTTGTGGGCATGAGTATGATGAGTAGGTATGATACTTTGTTACCTGTTTGTTTGTCTGTGTGTTTTCAATGTAAGCAAAGTAAGCATATACAAGAAAAACCTTATTTTCTTTTTATATTTCCTATCAATATCTGCTTAACACCCTCAGCGCCAGACCCTAAGTGACCGTTTAAAAAATTCATTTTTTTGTAAAATCACCGATTCCCAGACCATTTACATCGGCAAAATGCGACAGGCTTTTATTTGTGTAATAGATGTATAGAGAACGTGTTCCAAAAGGATCCAAAAGGAAGGTACGTTTACTAAGTAGAAAGATGTGTATACTTTTGAATACAGAGTTCCAGACACTGTGTGACAAAAAGATACACATGGCGCCTAAGGTGTTAATTTGGGACTAGTGGCGGTGTGTTAAGTATTCTAAGTTATTTTCATTTTTATATGATAATATAAGGATTATTGTTATTTATACATATATTCTTTAAATATTAAGTTTTGAATAATGTTAAAGAAAATACAAAAACTGTGTTGTAACCGCGTTGACATTGTTATTCGATACAAGGTACGTCAAACACTATTATTTTTCAAGAAGCCGAGGCAGCAACGTTTCTGCTCATATTTCTAAAAACCTGTAGCACGGTAAATACATATATATTGTTTTAATTGCAATCGAAATTAAGTCTTAATGACTGTAGAATAGGGTATAAAGTATTTTAAATGGCTTAATAGCATTATGCGGTGGTACAAAGAAAACGTATAAATGTAGACGAAGGTAAACCGATATAGGTAATATATGATAGTTATCATTGAATTTCAATGAGTCTAATTTTTTTATATAAGTGCTTAGTTTTAAAGAAATAAATGAAAGAACTAGCTGCACTCGCGACTTCGTCCGCGTGAAATACTGACCTTGACCCATTAAAATCCAAATAAAAAAGTTTCATCGTTCTAGTTTCAAAAATGACGATACAATCATTACTATTATGATTACTATGTCAATTCTCGGGGTCTCGGGGTCTACCTGTGTACCAAGTTTCATTTAAATCGGTTCAGTAGTTTTGGCGTGAAAGCAAGAGACAGTTACTTTCGCATTTATAATATTATAATAGGAAGGATTTAAGTTTATTTGTCTACTATTTGATATAGATGAATTATATATATGTCATTACTATTCTTCTATTATCTGTTTTACTTTTGATATGTACAAATATATTATTTCTTCCTAAAAATCGTCTTTCCAAAATTATATTTACCTGCCTTCTAGTCTTCTTCTTTCTACAGTCCTTCAATTTCACAAATGAATCTGAATAAATAAAGCGATTACAAAGTAATACATACATGAGGGTTCCTATTTACAAAGATATCAATCTCGTTTAAACATTCCGTAGTTTTGTAACATGTAACAGTAAAAATTAAACGTTCATTTTGAATTGGATCATTAGAACATCAGTCTGTCTCTTTCTTAACCTGTTCAAGGGAATAGGACAGCAGAAATTGCGTGCTTGCCTTTTTTGCTATAACAAAGATATTCGGTGGTGAATAAAAGGAAAGGATATAGACCTCTTTGGAATTCCAACGCAACAATGACATGGGCTTCTCGATATTTGCAAGGTGTGGTGGAATTCAAATAATAATAATAATCCGGGATAATTCACACAGCGTCCTGTAGTCCCAAGGTATGCAGAAATTGTGTTATGGGTACAAGACAAATTATAGATATACTTAAATACATTTTTTGGAAATATGTACATAATATACGATTCACCGTACCGATAGAAATAATCATAATTATGAATATAAATCTTGACATCGTACGATCAATCAAACAACAACACACACTAAATAAAAAAGCTGCGACTACGGGCTGATAGGCGGTGTGATAAACCGCTAAACCACCGAGGTCTGTCTATTATTGTTATTTACAAGGTCTAAAATTACAAATCTAGATAGATTTGATTTAATTTTTTCAACCTGTTTTAATTTTTTTGTCAACGTGGAAATGCTGCGAGCGTTATGGGAACCTTTAAGCCAGGTACGATACGGGACAATCATAGCAATTAACTTTTAGGTTTTTTTTCTGTTTTTTTTATTGTATATTTACCATGTAATTATTAATGTAATTAATTTTATAAATTGACTTATTGTGTAATTGAATAAAACATCATAGTGTATTCATTTTCAATTATAATATTAATCTTTAATCATACTATGCACTATTAGCGTTTTGGTAAAGTTTTATCCAACAAAGAAAATATTTAGTATGTATAACAAATAGGTCAAACAGTATTTAAAATAGTTTTATTCGAAATTTGATGTTTGTTTTAATTCAGTTGTTAAAAAAACTGATTATTGTTTGTACTACTGATTGCATTGTTTTGAATTAATAAAATTAAACGTTTCAATTTTACTATATATGTAATTGTGCATATTAGTATACATCATATATGTGTTATAAAAAAAAAACGAAATAAATCGATTATAAATTAATAATTAAAATAATTTTGAACTTAGTGCGTTAACTTTTAGGAGATTAAATTTGAATTTTGTGGAGATACTAATAGTATCTGAATTAAAATGTCAAGGGTAAGATTTTGTGAATAATTTACTATAATTTAGTTTTAGCCAAGGTCGAAAATGAAGGTAGTCTCTATACAAACGTCATAAATGTATCGAATATTGATTAGAACTTAATTTTTTTTTTGTTGAGTGGTCAAAAAACGTGTTTGGTGCTCTTTTAAAACAAATATTTAGAATTTTACATGTTGAATTCAAAGTACTATATATATAACTCTCCTATATATTAAGCATGAAATCGTAAAACAAAGTACTATAGTCTTTAAACAATCTGATGGTCCAACTGCAGGTAAGAAGTAATAGAAATTTATATATATAAAAAGCGCTACGTCATCACGTTATCATGTGACGCCCGTGATATCACTCATGCGTTATCATTCTCTACTCCAAGAAGTCGTAACATCCTTCTATCGTGTAATTATTTGACTTATCTTCAAACGAAATACATCTTCCAAAGCAAGCTGCTTTAATTGCTTTACAAGAGAGGTCATACAGAGCATACGTCATTTACCATCAGGTTGTGTTGAAGATTGAACCAGTTTGTTTATATTTTTTTATAGCTATATATATATATATTTTCATATGTATTTTCAAATATTCCTGTCACTGTTCCGCTTTTGTTTTTTCATTATAATTTATCTTTTACCAACGACCCGTCCCAGATTCGGACCTTATAAACCTTGAATTTCTCAGCTTCAAATACGCATGTATTATACATATAAACCTTCCTTGAATCACTCTATCTATTGCTAAAAACTGCATTAAAATTCATCGGTTAGTTTAAAATATGTAAGCAAAGACAGACAACGGCGAGTTTGTTTTATACTATGTAAAGAAGAATACATAGAAGAAAATCATTTTCATTTATCCACAATTATCTGATATTTTTACAATTACCATATTAATCAACTGAGAAATCAGTAATACTCTCCCTAATAAAAATGGTTGTTTGCCATATAATTCAATAAAAAAAAATTCCACAGCTATCGTTGAAGATCTGTTTAACCTCGTCTTACAATATCTAGGATATCCGTATGCAAGTTTTGTAGGAAATGGTAGCGCTAATAACAACTGAAGTGGTACAATTATAAATTAGTGACGACTAATCCATAGATCAATAGAACGTAATCGATTATGTACAGAGCAATTTTACGCAGCAATCATTCCACTTTGTTTATAGAACAAGTCTTTCACACTTTCTAAATATTTTGCAGGTTATTTTAATTGTTGTTTTAATATGGTCGTTATTTTTTTTTTCGGAGATGGGTTTGTTGGCACCAAGGTGCTATAGTTATACTGCTATGTTGTCTATGGTATGCGGATATGGGAGTGACCTTAACCATCGCAGTGGGGATAATAAAGGTTTATAATAGATACCACGTAATTATTTAAAATGAAGACATAGTCATGAAGATAAATAATTAATAATAATACTGAATTTACATAAATATCTCTTAATCGTATTTGTCTAGTATATGTATTATATTATTTTGATAGAAAGACAGAATAAGAATTGTATATTAAATATTAGAAAAGAAGTACCTACACACGATAGTTATATACTACTATTCTATTTTTATTCTATTTTACATAGTAGATTTATTATATTTATACATATAAAAAAACTTGCATTTATTTCACATTATAATAATTTACATTTTATTTCAAATATACTCCTTAAATTATATTATGTGTATATTAAAATTTTGGCAAGTCATCACAATTACTTCACTATCACCTCTAAATAATCAAATGAATATTTTGTAAATAAATGCTATCAATTTAAGACGTTTCAAAGACATTAGATATTAGATATTTAACAGCATAGGAGTGATTGCTTTTGTATTCTTACACTCAGGCACGGATTTTTTTTGTTGTTAATACAGAAGACCTTGTTACATTATGCATTTTAGTGGCAGTGTTTAAAATAATTGTCGTAATTAAAAAAAACACTTAGCGATGGCGCCAAATCTTTTCCCGCCAATTCATCCGGTACGCAAACAAAAGGAACAAAATCCCACGGCTCAGTGGTGCAACTAGCTGGCGTGGAATGTTCATATGCCTTAACTTATTTATTGTACCCACCTACCTGTGCTTGTAGTCTCGGTTGTGGAGAATACTCGCGGCGGAGTAGGAAACCGGTCGAGTCAGCTGACAAACAAAAATGGCGGCGAGATTGGGACGCGGCAAACGGCGGTTGCTGATTACGTTGATAACGTAATCTTATCCTGTATAGGTATTTATTTGATTTTAATTGTAGTATGCGTGGGTTTACATTATAATAACAATATAGATAGAGATAAAATAAATCTAATGAGCTCTGTGACAACGTTAAAAAATGAGGTTCTTGGTTTAATTATCTATTTTAAATAGGTCTGAGGACATTTTGTTTAATGGAATGGTGCACTAGTGCGTAATTATTAGTTAAAAATGAACTCCGATCACATCTTTTAGAATTTATCAGGATTTAATGCCGATGATTTACAGGGGCGACCGTGCCGACGTTGACTTACCGTAGTACATTGCTGGCGATGACATTTTCACCGAAGTAGAATTTGTAATCTCGTGTGCTCAGTCACACCTATTCCAGCCGTCAAGCGTTTGCTTTGTAAGCCGTTTCAGTTGTAGGGTGAGATTAGGCAGTAAAATTAGAGGACATGACAAATAACTCACCGTAGAGAGAGCTTTGTAGCGTAGTGGTTTACTACTCCAACTTACATCTAAAAGATCGTCAGTCCAAATCTAATCAATACAAAAAAAAATATTCTCCCGTGATGGAAACCCGGGTTAACAGCGGTTTTAGAGAGGATTTAAATTCATCCACCGAAATATGGGTATGTCAAGTGTTCCGTTCATTATGACTGAGATGACTGATGCTTCTATGACTATCCCATCAGGAATATAGTTGCGGTATATGTTGAAATACTATAATAATTATACATATGTGCCAATAATACCAATGGCATTATTATTGACTAGCTCTACCCGCGACTTGGTACGCGTGGAATTTAACTTTATTTTTCTAAAACAAAAGTCCCGTCAAAATCTGTCCAGCCACTTCGGAGATTAGCCGGAACAAACGGACAGGCAGACAGAAATCGTAAAAAATGTTAGTTTGGATACGCCAAACCGTACCGTATTTCTATATTCATATGCATGTAGTAAAAAACGGTTATTTCAATATTACAAACAGACACTCCAATTTTTATCCAACTCAAATTATTTATATGTATAGATTGTAAGCACTGTATTCTGCAAGTAAATTATTTCATTTGATTTAATTATAAAGAACCCTGTATTTTATTTACGTTAAACCGAATTAAACTTAACTGGTTTACTTTGTGATTATTATTTCTTTTGTTACTCACATTTCTTACATACGCAATTAATGTTCCATCTGAGCTGCCACTATTTGGTGGTCCACGTTGTTTATGGTCGGCTTTATATTCTTTGTTTCCACTAATTAAAAAGCAACAAAACGCAACGGTAAAACTAAATTATTTCACGCCCGTTAATTTTTTAATTTACTTACGCGTTAAAAAAATTTGGCAATTTCGCTAATTTCTAAATTATAATTCTTTTACGATATGCACTGCATGACGGCCTCAGTGGTCTAGCGGTTTAACGTACCGCTTTACTTCCGATGGTCGCGGGTTCGATTCCTCGCACGGTGCAAACATTTATATTCATGAGTATGATTGTTTGTATCCGTCTGGGTGTTTTCTATGTATATATGTGTATTTACAACAGAAAGGAGATCTCAGTAATTATATCAGTTGTCTAGTACCCATATCACAAGCTCTGCTTACCGTGGGATTAGATGTCGCTGTGTTCATTGTCTAGGGGTTATTTATTTATTATTTATAATCTATGGTAAATTAATTCTTACTATTTTTTATTGTAAGACGTCAACAAACAAGCTTACGGGTCATCTAATGGTAAACGGTTGTGATGATAACCGTTTACCATTAGATGGATTGCCTATGGGCACTTGAAACACCAACTATGTAGTTTATATTAAAAACAAATGAAAAGTACTTAAATACATTGGTCTATATGGCGGATAAAACATTGATTTACATATAGTTATGGCTAAATATCGACAATGAAAAGAATTATGAGTAATTTATAGATAAGTAATAATATAAAAAAGTTGATTTATGCGTCTGTGGGCAGAACCTGTTATATGACTATCCTGAAACCATTATGTCTATATATGTACTCAAATGATATTGTCTGGTGTTGATAGAAAGATACGAGTGTTATGTATGTTACTATATTTATTACACGACCTTGGTGGTCTAGCGGTTTGGCACAACGCCTTACCCCTTATGGTCGCGGCTTCGATTCCTCCATGATACAAATACTTGTACGCTTGAGTATCATTATTTATATTGGTCTGGGTGTTTTCTATATACCTGTATTATATATATTTTTTACAGAAAAAAAAAGTATTTCTGTACTTCTGTCTGTCTAGTACCCATAATACAAGATCTGCTTAGCTTGGGACTAGATGTTTGCTGTGTCAGTTGTCCAAAATATTATTAATTTTGATTTATGCACCTATTTTTCTATTTTTAACTTGCAGACTCTAGTTACCAATATTTTTGCATCTAGAATTGAATTAAATTAAATTAGAAATAATTGATTAAATTAGGACATTTTAGCCGCTTAGGAACATAACATTTTTTGTATTAGTATTTTTTCTTTACCGTCCAATTCAATTGAAAAGCACTGGCAAGAAACTCAACTGAAATTCTTTTTTTTATTAGATCCATTAGGCTTTAAATGAAATAAAGGCTTTTATTTCAATAAACTGTAGGTCATTTATTGGATAACAGAATTGTTAGGACATCTGTGCCCGAAATCAGCCAAGCGTGAACGGCCGTTACAAAGTGGCAAAGTCGTTGAAAACCACCATGCAACTGTCGCGTGCATTTCAATTGTTGGCACCGTTAAGTAAGTAACTGGGTGCTTATAGAATGGGAGGGGATTGTTAGTAATGGGAATTATTAGCCCTACTGATAGTGTTTAAAACCTTTTTTGTACATAAATATTTAAAAACAATTGAAATATATTCACATAAGTCAACAGACAACAGTCTTTGATTTCATACATAAAAACGTATAATATATAAAAGAACCGGCAAATACAAACAGATAGCAAACCTAGATAGTTAATTTCGGGTCTATATAACATGCTTAGCTAACAAAATTTATTCATCTCCATGCTTTTATCATTCGGTGGTAGACTGCCAGTGTTATTACAAGGTCTTCTAGTTCTACTGCTCTATTCCAACGGAAATAGAAATTGCGACCACATAAGCCATTGTTCGAAATCCTATTGATACCCTCTCAGACTAAAGTCGTATCCATCAGGCAGGACTGCCCGTTAGACGCGGAATAACTTCTTCCTGCTTTGGAGTGTCCTCTGCATTCCCCTTCATTTTGTCCAGTGAAGCAGATGGCAGAAACGGTCAAAATCATTCCATAGGATCATCACAAACAACAAATAAAATATGTTTATACACATACCTTTATAATAATAACACAACACAATTCACAATGCCCCATCTAGACCCTAGCTAAGCAGGGCTGTTATTATGGGTACTAGAAAACTGCTTGAAATACTTAAGTACAATTTTTTAGTAAATAGGCACATAAGTAATATCTTTATACAGAAAACACCCAGACCGATACAACAATCATACTCATGAATAAAAATGTTTTGCATCGTGCTAGGTCTCGAACCAGCGACCCTCGGAAGTAAAGCAGTGTGCTAAACTGTCAGACCACCGTGGTTATGTAGAAGTTCCTTAAAAGATTCACGATCTCTATTGCGCAGTAAACACGTTTACTGAAGATATAATAGGTTCTTGGTTTGATTATCAATCAGGATACTCATAAATCTTATATATAAAATTCTCGTGTCACAGTTTTCGTTCCCATACTCCTCCGAAACGGCTTGACCGATTCTCATGAAATTTTGTGAGCGTATTGATTCTGAGAATGGGCCAAACATCTATTTTTCATCCCCCTTTTTGTCAAATATATTTTTTTTTTAATTTTTTGTCAAAATTTTTAGTTTCTATTTTTTTATGATACAACATACAAAAATACATACAATCCTAAATTTTCACCCTTCTATCATCAACCCCTTTTTTTTATAGCGTTATTAATTTATATGGCAAAACAACGTTTGCCGGGGCAGCTAGTAACTTATAAATTCTAGTCAATATTAAGTATTCGCAAAAATCAGTGACCAACGGTCGAATATCCTCCTTTTTAAAGGCGGTTTAAAATTATGTTGAGATAGAGCACTGTAATAAACAGCCATCATTTCAGACGGCGACAGGAAACAAGTACCCTAGCAAGTTACGCCGTTCTATCCATAGCCGGCTTTATAACCTTAATTGTTGGATGTATTGCGAATTTTTTTTTGGTATACATGTATACCAATAATATTATATATAGCTTACATTATTGCTACTATTTTACGATATAGAAATTTACACACTCTTAGCCAATTATAGTAATCCACTATATAATCAGAAATACGTGGCACTGAACATAAAAAAATAACCTTATTAAATTACAAGTAGGTAAAAAAATTTACATTAAATTCTGTATAGTTCACTGTAAGTAAGTTTACTGTAGTTAATTATTACTTTATTAATTAATTTTACGAGCGGTTTTCTAATGAAAATCAAATTCTATCAGATATAATGTAAAACATAATCTCAAAGCTATTACATTGCACTGTCTAATTACACTTTCACTTCATATGTTAGTATGTACGTGTAATCAACAAACCGCATATTTTTATTGTCTCATCTAAAACATAATTATCTGATTCTAAATCAGAGTTTTCAACAACTTTCTAAATTTTTATGATTATTTATATTCAGCACAAAATTATTGCAATGGTTTGCAGAGGGAACATGGAGGTGGAATCTGACGTATTGTCTATACGTCTTAGGGGTACAATGGAGTAATTAATATTAGGCAGCGATGGAATAATCAATTCACATCACTAACAATCTCTTTCCCCCACTCGAATCGAGGACCATTCCTGAGGACTAAAATGTCAGGTCCTCTTATCTTATACCTCAATCTCACCTTTTACAAAGTCTACCTCTGGGAAAAACGTAAAATAGCAACCTCATTGCTATATATTAGCGCCTCCCTTCAACGCATATAAGTTGGCCGCACTGCAAACGGGAATCCAATCAATTGAACAAGGTTATACACCTTGATGAACAGGTGTACGGCCCGTTACGTTCCGTCCAAACAAGTTTGGAATCGAGTCGTTATAAAATATTATATCGATTATTAGGTATCGATTTGCTCATAATAAAATCATTGGTAGTGATGTAACAAGGAATTTTGCTGTCACAATATGGTTTGGATGGGTATTTCTACTGTTTCTACGGTCAACCAACCATTGGCGGGAGATCGATTCATAAGGCGTAATATGTTATATTACGTTATATGGGTCGATCTCCTGGTTTTAAAAGATGGGAGAAATATATATTAAGTGCTGTGCCTTTCATACACGTGATATTCTTAGCTTGTGTAGGTATATCTGAGGAATATTATTGTAAAATTTCATTAAAATCCATGTAGTAGTTTTTGCGTGAAAGAGTAACAAACATTCATCCATATATCCATCCACATTCAAAAACTTTCGCGTTTATACTAGGAAGAAGACTAGTAAAATTACTGGAGAAGTTCATATGCAAAAAAAATTATGTTATTCATATTATTGCTAGAGTCGGCAACATATTAGTACTTCTAGTGTTTTAAATGTTCACGAACCAGATTTGTTGTTTACAGTTGCTATCCTTGTTCGTCAGTTCTACCACCTTCATTGTTTAAAATTTTACATTTTTAAATGCATTACATAATAGATTTTTATGTTTTCTTTCAGATCCAACAAGTACCTTCAAAAGTCGGCTATAACAAGAGTGTGTGCTGTTGGAGGATTCTTTATATCAATACCAGTATTTTTAACAGGTACATATTATTTTATTACATACATCGACCAATTGTTCACAGGAAAATATACTCATATTATAATAACTTACAGACCACCACGTCTAATTTTTTGCAAACGTTGGTAGTTTCAAATTGCCACAAGTGTGTGTGCCTTGTTTTGTAGGTATATGTAATATTTCGTTGGTTCTTTTTATTTGGCATTCCATATTGAATATTTATTACCGTTTTAATAAAACCAAAGCAAAATAATCTTAACATTAATTTTAACATTTCACAATTGATTTCAGATGTCAGTTAATAAAAGTTTTCCTATAAAAATCAAATTAAGTGAACTTGTTAAGTATTAACTATTATTTTATGTAGATATTTTTTTTAACCACGGGTATAATAATTAAAAGATGAATAATAAATCATGCATGTTATTATAAAAATTATAATGAAAAGCGTATCAAAAATCGTCTAGTGGTTTAAGAGAAATAAGTAGAGACAGACAGACGAAAATATCGGAATAAAATAACTACGACTAATTTGAATAAAAAACTATAATTTGTTTACTAAAAACTTTACACTATGCATTTGACCTATTTGACTTATCCACTTGATAACGTTATCGATAATAGAAATGTATTTTATTATCGAACTCCGTGAAAGGGTGATAGTGGTAAGGTACTGTGTAAATGAGATCCGGATTCGATTCTTAATCTGGCAAATTTAGAAAACTTAGTTTTGACATTTAAACTTTATAGGCATAAATCATATTAGGTAATCAATGAAATAAATAAAAAACCCTCAACAATTAACACACCGCTATCTAGGCCCATCGTAAGCAGAACATGTGTTGTGGGTACTAGAGAACTGATATAAATACTTCATTTAATTTGATATAGCCTCGGTGGTCCAGCGGTTAAGCACGCCGCCTTACTTCCGATGGTCGCAGGTTCGATTCTTCGCACGGCACAAACATTTGTATTCATGAGTAAGATTGTTTGTATCGGTCTGGGTGTTTTCTATGTATAATATCTATGTATTTACGAAAAAAAACCTATGTATTTGTATCATTCATCTAATACCCATAACACAAGCTTTAGCTAGCTTAATTTGGGTCTAGATGGCGCTGTGTAATAGTTCTGAGATTATTTATTTATTACTAGCTGAGCCTTGCAACTTTGTCTGCTTCATACCTACTTGACATTTATCATTATATTTCACTCAATTTACATAATATCTTATTAAATTATAGCCTGTGTTACTATATGTTACTGTAAAGTTTCATCAAAATCTGTAGTATTAGTATTCGTAGCAGTTCTTGCGTGAAATAGTAACAAACATCCATCCATACTCACAAACTTTCACGTTTATAATATTAATTTATTTACATGTATACATTCCAGGTATAATACTCTACACCTTCATCCAATTTCACTCCACGCCGGCTATTGTGACGTCAGTATTCATCGGCGTGGGCATCATATTCTGCGGCTGTGCCATGGTCCACAACGTGTTCGTATGGCAGAAAGAGAAGACGAACCTAGTCAAAGCATGCAGAACTCCAGACTTGAACACTACAACTGCAACTTCGCCAAATCTGAACACCTCAAACGGTGTACTATTGGGTAATGGGCATTTGAACAATACAGGAATGGGAGGAAACCTGAGCTTTCATAGTATGACTGGAGCGCCGTACACTCATCCAATTACACTGCTGCAGCAAGGTGGACCTTATATTATTAGGTAAAAGAGTTCATTTTAATTTCACTATAATATTTCTAGGGAAAACATATTTAGTATGGGTTATAAAATGGTATCTGTATTTTATAAATAGCCTCCTCATAAGCCAATTTATGAGATTCCAACATATAAATCCAACCTATTGAATACCAAAATGTCTCTTGTGAAGACCTTTAGACTATATAAGTTAGTGTAAAGCAATAAATGCCACCGAACGACTCTTGTATATCCCTGTTTTTCTTTTCTCTGCAATGTGTGTAGCCAGAAACAAAAATTTTCAGTATTAATTTTGAGTCTGAATGTTTGAAAGTCTGAAGTAAATTCATGCTGGAACTATTTCTAAATCAACAATGTACAGTATGTTCTAGATTTATAAAAAGAAGACACTGTACACTGCGAACAATATACTCAATAACCAACAAGTTCACATAAAATAATGTAAAATACAGTAACTGGAAAATCAAATGATGACATGATAGACTGATAGTTTATATTACATTAGAATAGAATAGAATAGAAAATCATTTATTCAAATAAACTTACATTGAAGCACTTTTGAATAGTCATAACATTTTTTTTTTTTTTAATCTACCGCTCATTCGGAATGCTGTCTCATCACAAGAAGAACAAGCAAGAAACTTGTGTGTTGCTCTTTTAAATAATTTATTCTTACTTACAGTTTAAGTTTAAGTGTGTGAATACAAACCACCGATTAGCACTAATTCAATTAAATACTCAAAAAGAAAAAAATATTGAATACATAACCAACTGGTTAAACAATTAATAAGAGGAAATCAGTCATAGTGATTAGAGCAGACCAGTCCCTACAAGCAGCACCCGTTCACGAGTATGACGGATGAGCCAGCCATCACTGCGCTCGACCATATTTTAGGGAGCCCAATGACCCGGCCCACCACGCCGCCACAAGTCTGGACATTTTAGTGAGCATGACTACTCAAAACACCAGACCACGTCATAGCTACTCACAATTGCCATCTGATGTTTATAGTATTCACATTTCACATAAGAATGCATGCGGCAATTAATACAAAACCCGCTACGCTTTCATATTTCTAAAATAATTGAATCAAGAAAGCAATGAGATAAACAAATTATAACGTTGTATGCTAATAAACTAATTATTTACTTGATATGTTGTCTTCTATGAATTCGTCTATCCTGTAATAGGCTTTCTTACATAAAAATTGTTTAATATAAGATTTGAATTGCCTCTCTGTCAGAATTAGTGCAGATTCTGGCAGTTTATTATAAAATCTTACGCAATTACCATAGAATGAATTACTGACTTTGTGCAGGCGGCATTTAGGTAAAATTAGCTTATTTTTATTGCGTAAGTTTCTATTTGTACAGTCTTTAAGTTTTCTAAAACTGTCTAAATTCTTCCGTGTATACATGATATTCTCATAAATGTATTGTGAAGTAACGGTGAGGATATTTGAATCTTTAAAACACTGACGTAATGACTCTCTTGAACCCATACCATAAATAGAACGTATGGCTCTCTTTTGTAAAATAAATATAGTATTTATATCGGCTGCTTTACCCCATAGTAGTATACCATATGACATAATGCTATGGAAATAACTAAAGTATACAAGTTTAGCCGTCGCCACGTCTGTTAATTGCCTAATTCTTCTAATTGCATATGCAGCTGAACTGAGTCTATTGGCCAATTTTGAAATATGGGGCCCCCATTGTAATTTCGAGTCCACTGTTATACCTAAAAAAACTGTATCATTAACAAAATTTACTATTTCGTCATTAAGCAATAACTGTGTATTTATTGGTCTTACATTAGGAAGTGTAAATTTTATACACTTTGTTTTGCTGGAATTTAATAATAGGTTATTACATGTAAACCAATTTAATATAGCAGACATAGCACAATTTACATCGTCTAATTGATTAGTTTGACGTCCAATTTTAAACACTAACGAAGTATCATCCGCAAACAGCACTATATCTGCAATTTTCTCTACCATAAAGGGAAGGTCATTTATGTAAATTAAAAAGAGAAAGGGGCCTAAGATTGACCCTTGTGGAACGCCCATCCCAATATTAGCTCCCTTAGATTTTATACCGTCAATATCTACAGTTTGGACCCTATCCTCTAAATAAGTTCTCATTAATTTTAGATCATTATCTTTTATACCATAATGTTCGAGCTTGTACAAAAGTGTTTTATGATCCACGCAATCAAATGCCTTTGATAGGTCACAAAAAACTCCGAGTGCATCCTGTGACTTCTCCCATGATTGGAAAATATGTGTTATCAGCGCTACACCTGCGTCAGTGGTAGACTTGCCGGCGGTGAAACCATATTGTTGACTGTGAAGCAGTCGGTTATCCCTGAAGTGTTGTAACATTTGATTTAACATTATCTTTTCAAACACCTTACTTAGAACTGGCAAAATAGATATAGGTCTATAGTTCCCTGGCTCAAATTTATCTCCTGATTTAAATAGTGGGATTAATTTGCTAAATTTCATTAATTGTGGAAAAGTCCCATTATCAATACATTTATTAAAAATAGTAGCTAGATATGGAGCAACAATATCTATGAAAGAACTAACTACTTTTACAGACATGCCCCAAAGGTCTTCTGTATTTTTTAAATTTAGATGTTTGAATATTTTTATGATATGAACGGGGCTAACATGTGAAAATTTAAATCTTAAAGCACAACAACCGATATTAGACTCTAGTAATATTTTTGCTCGAGATGGAGATGAGTCCAGAGAAGATGTAATATTAATCGGAATATTAGCAAAAAAATCTTCAAAAACATTAACTACATCTTTTGTTGCTGTTATTAATTTATTATCATAATTTAATGCAAATTGATTATAGGCTAATTTAGATCTTCCGGTTTATTTATTTATAATGCCCCAGATGGTTTTAATTTTGTCAGAAGACTGGTTAATTTGTTTATTAATATAATTAGATTTAGCCGTAATACAAACTTTTTTAAAAATTTTTGAATAATTTTTCACATAAGTGGTGAATTTGTCATCAAATCGATATTTTTTTTGATCGTATAAATCAAACAAAATATTTCTACTTTTAAGTATACCTACTGTTGCCCATTCCGTGAATTTAGATTTAACATAAACTTCTTTTTTCTTGAAAAATTGTTCATATTCTCCTGATAGAATAGTAATTAGCTTGGTGTAAAGATAATCAGGATTATTACTATATTGTAACAGCAAATCCAATTTATTTTTAATCGCGCTTTTGTATTTGTTAATATTGTAAACATTTATTTGTCTTTTTGATTTTTTATTATTGTTGACTTTATTGATCTGACTGTTAAACTTAACAACTTGACCACAGTGATCTGAAGGAAGTTTATTTATTATGAATTTTTCTGTATACTCACAGTTACAAAAAACATTGTCAAGACAAGTAGCAGACGTGGCAGTTACACGAGTGGGTTCATGAAAGACATGACTTAAATCAAATGACTGAAATAAACTAATAATTTTTGTACATGTGGGTGTGTTACAAAGAATATCAACGTTAAAATCTCCACATACAATAATTTTTTTAAGACTATTAAATATTTTTTTTAAAATATCCTCCATCACCCCTTCAAAAACATTGTAATCACTATTAGGAGGCCTGTACACACATATAAGGATATAATTTTCTAGTTCTATACAAGATAATTCTATACAACACTCAATAGAAAGTCTAACAATGTCAGCACGTTCCTTTACTTTAATATTATTTCTTGCAATTATCATAGACCCGCCTCTGTTAACTGACTTTCTATTGAAGCAGCTGACAACGTTATAATTACTTAAATTGAACATCATGTTGCTCTCCTTAAGCCAATGTTCTGTGAAACAGACAATATCAATATTATACTTTTCTAAAAATAATTGTATAATTAACTCGCTGCCGGGAAAACTTTGTATGTTCTGATGAACAATTATTAATTCTGATTGCTTTCCCTTTGTCTTTGTGAGCAGTTTAAATCTGCAGTCATAGTATTTATGTCACAAATATTAATAGAATTATTTGTTATGTCAGTATTTTTATGTTTAAGTTTACCATGTAAACTGTTCATGTAGTCAATATTATAAGCCACTAAAGTGGCTATTTTATTTTTAGATGATTTAGAGAGATACATTGTATCTTTTGTCAAATAAAAATCACTAATAAAACTATTAGTATCAAAAAATGTAAAAATGTCACTATGACGACATGTCAACATATGTAATAAGTTATTCAGGTAATGTACCTTACTGTTAATTTTTTTATGAAGATGTCTATTTGTGTAAGGAAAAGCGCACAATACAATCTTATACACATTTAATTGTAATAAATATTCAATTCCTTTAATTACATCCTGCCTATTTAATTGAATACTATTACCAAAAAATAACACAATTGTGGTCATATTGTTCATTTTTATAGATTTAATTTTATTTATTATTTGTGTAAATGATGCTTCTGGCATACAGTAGTTTAATAAATCACCCTTAAGATGATACTTCAAAATAGATCCAAAGTTACAGCCTATTCTGTCAGAGAACACCATTGTGCTACTCTTAGGGTTACAGTCACTGGCACAAACACCCTGAACTTCATTTTCCAGCACAGTTATAACTGAATTATTATTTGATATATTTGTGTGATTACATGTACAATGCTTAGTCAACGACTCAAAACGGTCAGCATTGTATTTACTGACATCAATCAGATCATCCATTGCTAAAATATGCTCCTGGATTTGTTTCTGAGAGATAATATACTTTGTATTTAAATCATGAAGTGAAGATTCTAAACTATTGATTTTTGAAGGTAGGTAGTCTGTATCAATGTCATATAACTTTTGGCTTTCCAATAACTTATTATTACACTTATTAATATAATCATGCAATTTTAAATTATTTAAAGTATTTCTTTTCAATAACTGACCCTTTTTACAACGCTTATTTAATATATTCCGAGTCCTAATAATAAACTTTTTTAGTTTTAAATATTTTTTTAATTTATTATGACTCAACATACAAATGTTATTGTTATAGTTGCCTAATTTAGGAGATGTATCACTAGTATGGTCAATCACAACAGGATGAGTGTATGGAACTGTAGTCGAAGGAGGCACACAGTCAACACTAATAAGTTCCTCATATAAATTATGTAACAACTTCTCTACTCATACTATGCACTTTATTAAAAATTATATAAAATAAAAATAAATGCGAAAGCAAACCCGAGTTGCACGGTATGTTTATTAAATGCAAGCCGATCTCGCGATGCAACGGAGACCGGTGCGAGGGGGGACATCGAAGCCGTCCAGCACCTACGTGTTAGGTCGAGATTCATTCGTCCCTGGCTAACCTACACGGTGGACACGTACTTGTTTCTACTACCAATTCTATTCTTAAGCTGGAATTCTACGTTTTTATTTTGCTGTTTCGCAATATATACTAGTATATACTTGCAAGACCATTTTTAAAGGAATTATAAACCCCGAATTGGGGTTCAAATCTCCGGGCAGGAACACCGCATGACCTGAGTGCTAAACGGCCTACACCGCTAGTACCCGTGTCGACTGCCGTCGTGTGACGCAGAATACTCAAGGGCAGTGGTATTCGGTGCTACTAGATGCTAAATTGTGCGATTTTGTGTATGGACAAAGAACCTCCTTATGAGCTACAGTGCTAACAGTATATATTACATAACTTATGTCACATAATTATATTCTTTCACACAATCCGGATTTTATTTAACTTATTTTAACACCAAACTACTAAAAGTGTGACAATTACTAATCTCATTACTTCGCTGAGATTCCAATCTTGTGTCTAGATCATTAATTTTAGAATAGGCCTGCTTTAACTCAAGCTCCAATTCAGTGATACGCCTCAAGGCTTGCTCATGGGTGTCACTACACTGATGAAAGCTACTTATTAGTTCTTGAAGCTGATCCCGCTGCTCAATAACTTCCTGATGACTATTATGAAGTTCTGACAGTTCAGATTTTAATAGTGTATTTTTATTTATAATTTTTAAAATTTCATCTTCACTCTCTTCTCTCTCCCTGATCAACTTGTCACTAAGATCTTTGGATGCCTGAAGTTCTTGTAGGGCTACTTTAAGCTTCATCTCTGTCTGCCGTGCAGTTGTGGAACGGGTAGATAGTGACATTATTGAATATATGAATAGTTACTAGGGAGAGTGAAGTGAGTTATTTCTAAAAGAAACAAAGTATCACAACGAGAACAGCAACTGAACCTTACTTATTTTAAGTCTTAAAATTTTTAATTATTTCTGTTAGATATATTATATACAACCTATATTTTATAAGATTAAGTAAATGGAATTAGATTGTGCTCCTTTCCTTCAAATTATATTAATACAAAACATAAAATTACTTACAATATATTTTGTGGGTATTATTTTTTCCTTCGACGTACGCAACAACAGAACTTCACAATTATTAATATTAATTTAACTTGATATGAATATATAGTATAAAACTTGTATATATTATGAAATTCTTTGAATAACTCCAACAAATAGTTATAGAATAGTTTTAAATATTTAGTTGTTTACCAACGAAAGAAGTTTGACAGATGGCCGGTACACTATTTTTTAATGTCGATTTTTGCAAATAATACACCTCCAATTTGTACACAAACAATAATCGACACTTATTGCACTATTAAATCACTAATAATGATATCGGAACTATAATATTCGTGTGATAAACTATTAAAAATTATTTATTTATTACGGCCAGCTGATAAAGACAACTGTCGTTGGTGTTGCCAGTCGAAGAAAAAATTAAAATAAAGACCTGACAAAATTAATAATTCTACATAAATTTTATGTTGATTGTCGCATGCCTAATACTTGTTAATGTGTATACATTTATTTAAAAGAGCAACAAGCAAGTTCTTCTTGCGATGAGTCTGCGTTTCGAATGAGGGGTAGAGTAAAAAGAAATATGACTATTTAAAAGTACTTAAATTTATTTGAATAAATAATTTTCTATACTATTCTTCGATTTAAAGCATTCCTGAATTTAGCTAGCTAGTCCTAAGGAGTAGGACTAGATGGCGTTGTGCTAATATTATTAGAATTAGCTTACATGAGAGCTTGTATAATGGGTACTAGACAACTTATATAATAAAATAGCTATAATTTTTTTGTAAATAGATAAGATATAGATAGCTAAATCACCAAAGATTATATTAAGTTTATTTCTAATGGATTGTTTACTGTTTCCTGTGGACAGGCCGCCAACTAGTACGCCGCCCGGCGAAGGTGCCGCAACGCCGGGAAGTCCACCCGCTGTCGACCTCAGCCACGACACGCACGAACTCAGCACGCTCGTATGACCGTTACCAATCTGGACTTTATTACCGAACCGTTGAGTCGAATTTAGCATGAGACCCAGGAAGTCCTCCCGCTGGCGCTGTCGACCTCAGCCACGACATGCACGAACTCAGCACGTTCGTATGACCGTTTCTAAACTGGACTTTATTACCGAACCGTTGAGTCGAATTTAGCATGATAAATTTGTTGAAAAACGATCTGAACTTTTTCAATTGTGTACGAATTGTTCACTACTTAACTGATGTTGGTCATTTTTATTCAATTTGTAAACATTGAATAGTGTGTTTATATTATTTAAGTGGTAACACTGAAATTATACAATACTCAATGAGAAAGGAAGTTAGTCAATTTTTTTTACATCTATAATTAATTTCTCTAATACAGATTTTATGATTACTATTGTATGTAAAACGAGAATGTGAACTAAAATAGAGATATTTTTAAACTATATACGGGAATTTAATTGACTTGCTGTGCTTTCGTCCTTTAAGGCAATTGTTTCGACTTCATTCGGAAGTCTGTTTCAGGATGAGTATGGTGCAATGATCAAAGCATACTTAGTAAGTTCCTTAAATTCTCATAAATTCATAAAAATATTACATCTGGCATTATAATGGATTTTGTAAAATAAAATTATAATTATACCATTATAGCTACAAAAGAGATTAAATATAATATATTTTTAATAAATTTTAAAATTGAATCATCTTTTCATAAAAATGTTTTTATATCGAATATATTATAGGACAAATGATAATTAACTGTTATTTTCGGTAACTCTTAAAATTGTACGGAATGTAGTATTTCTGTACACTTCACCTTTGGACCTGATCATATAATGCCAGTGCTTTAAACTGCAGCACTTTAAAATTTGAAAAACTTAGCTTCCATAAACACCATTGCATTCAATAAAAACACTGAGTATTTGTTTAAAGAGAGAATAATTGTAATAATCGAGAGAATAATCATACAATTAAAACACCGTTTTTCACTTTATGAAACTTTTTAGATATTGAACTATTTCTGAATTATTTTATTAAATAAAAAAGATATTAAAACTCAATAACTAAAATGGATTTTATAATATGTTTGTGTTGTTTTTATGGACACATTCCACAGATAATTTAATATTACTCTGTTTTGTTTTTTCCCATTTAGAATTGAAAAATATTAGAATTAAAAAAATTTGAATTGAAAAACCGTACTAAACTATGTTCTACTTTTTTAAAGTTTCAATAATATGTTTATGTTCGGTAATTGTAAATAGTGTTAGTAGAATATATTATGTATTGCCTGAATTTGCCATGCCTAGAATACCTGATATAGAAATATAATTAATATATTTCAACTTTGCTCTTGTTTACAAAAAAAGTTTTAAACGCAGAATTTCTTCGGCATATTTTATTTCAAATAGAAGTAATGTTACTATGTCTACATTTAAAATAAAATAATGTCGTGTTACTTAAAGTTTTATTTTTATATGTCAGTACCTTTAATACGTTTTTGTACCTTTTTATAATTTAATCGTTATGTTTTATCTCTTTCGTTCAAATAGAGAGGTCTAGCAACCTAATATACCTCTCGCTGTTTTATGAATTTATTTTAATTCATACAGTAAAAAACAGTATATTTCTATTCAGATTACAATTTGTTGTGTATCAACATTAGACAGGGGTTTCCAGCAAATATTATGCCTGGGCAATTTTATTGTCATAAAAAAAATAGAACCAATTTTATAAATTCTATTACAATTTTCTGTGCGAATGAACGTATGCTTTATACTAAATTTCCAATTGGGCCTGATAAAGTTTAATCGAAATTGGCAACTGATATTGGCTATTTATTCCCTAATGGTCTATGATTTTTATAATAATAAACCAGTATTTAAATACTAAAGATATACATTTTAGATATTTTGGAACTAATCAATATAAAAAGAGATTCATTTTGGGTGTACAGAATATATCAATAGTTCACATTATTAAACAAGAAAAAGACTAACTGTTTTATTCAAAATTTATTGCTTAGTTTATGTACAAAGTTGAGCATTTTCAAGAAGCAATAATATATACATATTTATCTCTGTCATTCATTATACAATGAAAAGAGAATGACAGAGACAGCAACAATCATGTAAATATTCATGCAATGAAGTAATATGTGATGTGTGAATTTATAAATAGAAATTTCAACCCACCAATCAGTGATAAGTTACTAACAGTGTGACAAACAAACTAAATCGATACAAATGTAAATTATGTACATATATTAGACATGGAACAGGAGGCATAATTTTATTTATTGTTTACTTGATAACCACATTTCTATTTTTATTTGTTCATTTATGTGAGCCTAAAAATAAAAACAAAAAAAATATTTAAGTGTATATTTTTTTATTAATTACCTATGCACCTATAATTTTTTCGTTAGGGATTTCTCTTGCCTTCCCGGGCCCTGAAATGAACATAAACACATAAATAACTTTTTATTAAAAACTAATAGTTATTTAATAATACTTTTATAATAGAAAAATTAAATGAAATTCCATTTTCTTGCCCATTTTTTGATATTTTTTTTATATACTAAAATTATATTGTCAATGGAATCAACGGTTATCGAAAAATAACGAAATAAACCGAGTAGTAAAGTCTTCTGCATGGGTACCATAATCTCACCTGTTTCAGCCGCCAAGCAAATTGATTTGTATGTTGTGTTACAGTTGCAGAGGCAGATTAAGCAGCGAAATTACAGAATAAGAGGCACAACATCCTCCAGAATTGAAATGCATGTTCTACGATGGGCCTTACAAATCAAAATATCTTTACCCATCTAGATCTACTACAGATTATGATATATCATATCTACCGTTAGTTCGGAGGGCTTTCGAGCTAAGAAGAACTTACAATATATGATGCTCGTAGAGCTGTTCATGTATTTATAATATATGGTGACAGTTACCATCTGGTGTGACGTTAGCTTGTTTGCCAATCCATTCATAAAAACGTCAGTACCGTAAACTACTTAATTTTTAAATATAAAAACACATGTTTTAATGCCACATTTGCAGCCTAAAAAGTATATGAGTAGTCACTTTATATTTCATTAATTGTTACACATACACAAAAACAAAGAAAATCATAGACAAACTTGTTTTACCGAAAAAGACTATTTGAGCAGGCACTGTCACTGAAGTATTATGATGTTAATCGATAGCTAAAAGAAATAGCTAGTTTATTAATTATACAAAAACAATTTTTTAAGAAGTTTAGCAGAACATGAAGTAATTTTTTTTAAATAATACATGTTACAATACACGCTATAATATCGGTTCATTAGTCACAGCTCCACGTCTTTACTCCGTGACGTCTGCGCGGGAATTATCTCCCCTCTTACACCAAGTTACACCTTATGGACCATGTGCGCTCGGCGAGAGACGTTAGTTAAATTAACTCTCCACTATTAGTGTTACACATACACTACACAAGACAAAGTTAAATTTATCTTAACACTAATAACTTTGTAAATGACAAGTTAAATGTATCTTATAATACAGGACAAATAAATAAATCTGAAATAGAATAGAATCTTCACCTAACACATATACACATAATGACAAAAAAATTAAAACACTACACACATCACAAAAAATTCCAGTGCTGAAATCTGAAATCTAAACATAATAAAACATACCGTTTGAGACCCTGATAGAGTCCGGTGTAGTACCCGCTCATGTACCAGCTGAGCAGCATGGACGATATCGCCTGCTCCTCTGAATCAGTCCTATTTGATGTATGGAAGCCTAATGGCGGCGGAGGTGGTAATGGTACATCGTTTGGACCACTCTGTGGAATGAAAAATGCAGATTTGAATGACACACTTTTAGTAAAGATCCTTAATTGTTTCTAGCGATGAATATAGCCTATGTTACTCAGGAATACTGTAGCATCCTAATAGAAAATATATTTTGTAATCGGTACAGTAGTTTATTAGTTACAAAACATATTAAAATACAAATATTTTCTGTTGAAAATATTATTAATAATAATATTTCAGGATAATTTATACAGCCCGTTCGAGCTAGCGGAGCTATATTTATTTTGTAAATACACACATAAATTCACATAATATACATCTATAATACCCAGACCCATACAAAAATCATACTCATGAATAAAAATGTTTGTAAAGTGCGAGGAATCGAACCTGTGACCATCGGATGTATGGCGGTATGCTAAACCGCTAGACTATCGAGGCCGTCTAGTATGTTTAGTTTTGTCAACTTGTTTTAAATAATACTTTGTAATGTAGATAATCTTTTTGAATATGATTGTTAGGGAGACGGCCTTGTCTGGCATTCGATATTTTAAATATGTTAGACATACACATTCGAATGCTGTTATTCTTTATTTAAAAGAAACTAACTTCAATGAATAATAATAACATATAAAATTATTAAGAGTTGAGTTCTTATCAGCTAAACTGGCTGAATTGAAAATTATGACTTGTATAAGAGGTCGACATTGTTATATCGCACATCTAGTAGAAAAATGGATTATCGCAAAAAAATAAATTGTTCGAAATTATACTTCCAAGATAACAGCTTAGAGCGGATTTCTCAATGTGTATATATTTTTGTACTAGGTATGCGATTTATGAATAAATGATTTATGACTTCGACTTACATTCAACAACATAGCTAGATTCGGCAGGGATGGCAGTTCCGGAAGTTCATAACCATTAATGTGTTTATTATTCTTTTTCTTTTTTGTTTTCTGCTTTCTATTGCATGATCTCACTGTAATATAAATTAAATATCTTGTTAAACATATAAAGATTGTAATTTCAAATTTCATGGAATGGAATGTACATTTATATTCATTTTTATGTAAATGAAAAAGTGTCATAGGGCAAAGGAGACAAATTATGATAGGGATTACACTAAGTGACAAAATCACAACCTGGGATATAGGATGGCATTGTATTAATACAGATATTTTTTATATATGTTTACGGGAGGTCAGTTGCTACTATTCCTTGCCTTTAGATATGTTGAAGCGTACACCAATCATTTATCAAAGTAAATAATTATTGAGATGTGGTACTGGCTTCGAAAGCTGCGTATATCTTGGAGTGCTCATCAAATCAACGTCTCCATCCTAAAGAAACTCAACATCAGGAAGAGATTATCGTCGACTATGCAAATACGAATTCTCAAGTATTTCACATTAGCCGGAACGAAAACTGTATGGAGCCGCTAATTATCGAAGGTTCAGTTGTGGCAAATGTTCTCGGGGTCGATCAACAACGCGATGGAGTGACCTTATCAAAATGGCTACACAGCTGACCATTGTATAATGTTCTTGTATAGCCAAAAACCAGATTGAGGCAAATTGCGAGGAACCCTGTGGCCAAAGAGAACAACGAAGAGCTACCATTGTGAAAGACTACTCTGTCAAGAGTGTATGACTAAAAAAGAATTGAAATTAACTTCCGCAAAATAAAATAAATAATAACGGTACCTTGTTCTACAGGCTCAGGATTAGAACTTGCTTCATCTCTGTTGGAGCCAAACTCCATTTGCTCAGGATCTGGAGAAGCATTTGCATATGGATTTTCAGCCTTTTCACTCAATGCCTCCTCAATTTGCTTGGTTCTTTCAGTTTTACCTAAGGTTGGTTTTAATGTATTTATAGGCACAATTTCGGAATTTTCATAACCTGGAAAGCAATAGTAAAAGATTAATGTTATATTATTGTAGTTATGTTTTGTTTTTTACATAATCGGAAAGGTAAACAATCTGATGACCCAATGGATGGCAAATAACTGTTAATGTATATATAAACAACAAACATTAGTTTAATGTTTATTGTTTATATATACATTAACAGTATCATGGCTGAAGCTGAGCCATGAAAGCAAAGTAATTTGTCATAAATTTGTTTTTCTTTATCTAAATGGAATCACTAACATGCTGATGATGCACCTGATGGTAAGTGATAACCGTTGCCTACCATGAACAGCACTATAGACATCACTTTATCTGTTGAAATAAATGACACTGGTCATGACAATGACCTGTCTATGACAATCATGTTCATACTAACATTGGGAGAAGGAAGTGTATCTGGTCAGATGGATTATATTCAAAGAATAAACTGTCTCAGATGGTATTGTCATGTGATGCAAATTGATGAAGAATATCACCTAATATTTTATTATTATTATTATTATGTAACCAAAAGAGCTTTTCAACTACCCGAAAGTAAAAGAGTTTGAAGACACCCTCTAACTACCTGGTGGAGCACTATGAGTAATCTCATTGCGACAGTAAAATTGCCCAATTCGATAATGCAGGACAGACTGTCCTGGTGCAGCAAAATTAGGAGAGAGACCTCACATAAAGTGGGATGTTTTTTATTATTGATTGTTTTGGGCTATTATCCTGTGTTAAGACCTGTAGCACTGCAACCTACATAGACTTATTTTGCTTCCCTTTTTCAAAGTTTCTACCTATGCTCATCATGGACAATAATTAAAGTGGATAGTGCAGAGAAAAGGAAGTAGATCTTTTATATACTTTGAGTACTTAGAGCAAATTACACACATGTCATAAATATATACATGTAGCTTATATATCTGAATATCACAGACATATCACAAAATCTTTCAAAATGGTTTATGAATGAAATTATACATGTAGTATACCTAAAAATCTCACAACACACTCTTTATCATTTAATACACTTAATATGAATGCCTCATATTCTAATCCATCCTCTTCATACAAGGCCCTGCAATGCATTCCTGATTTCCATTTCGTGCTTGGTTCCTTTTTATTATTCTTTGATGTACTTGGTTTGGGGGCAGTCTTGTCTTTTTTATTGTCAGGTTGATCTGAAAATAGTGTCGTTATTTATGATTAGGGTGCAATAGTATTAATAGCTGCAAGATTTTGGTAATATGAACTTATTAAATTATCCTAATTAAATGGAATTTTTCATATTTTTTTCAAATCTTCATACAAACTGTGAATACAAAGTGTCTTTAGAATTTAATTCATAAACATAATAGTAAACCTAATCACTTACAAAAGGAATCAAGTAAATTTGTTTAAATATTGATTTTTTTATATAACAATGCAGTCAAATTAAGAGCTTCTTGCCTGTAAAGAGAGTTGAAAATTAATTACCATTACTTTTCCGGTTTGTGTTTGTTGACACTCATGCAAATACAAATCTATTAATTTTTTTGCAAATATTGTCAACATGTTTTTTCCAATTCAAGTTTTCGTCTAGTGTAATTCCTAAAAATGTAGTAGAGTCCACTTTGTCTATTTTTGTTCCATCATGCAATATATTTAAGTCAATTTTTGGGCTGGAGTATGTCTTGAAATGCTATTCGTTTGGCCACTTCTGCATTGGCGATCTGTAAGGCTTTGTCATAAGCGTCGTTAAGCTTTCTATCATCCCAGATGTCTTGTTCCTCATCGTCAACCTCCGATTCTGACTGTAACAAATAATACATATTTTTCTTCGTGTCCTAGCAATCCAGCAGTTGGCTTTAATCAGATTTGATTGCTTTTTTCTGTCACTTTAATTTACATACATCCACTGATTGTTCCATTTATAATGTACATATAAATAATTAAAAATATGTTTTACAAATAACACAGCACTGCAGTAACCATCACCTATATATATGAGAAGTACTATGGATATCTTGCCCCTCCACTAAGACTAAGATGTCATGCCTCATATCTTGTAATTTAACTTACAACTGAAACATAGCTTTATTTGTATAAAGCTGCTTGGTGTTTTAAATAGATGAGATACCCACACAAGCTACTTTTTACAGTCTACCTATAGTAAAAAGGGTGCTAATTGATAACAACTAGAATAAATATAAAATCACAATTCATCTCTGCTACCGATCCCTTGTCCAATTCATTCAACGGCGATCGAAGCTACTACTGCCGAGATTCGAACGACTAAAATTGTAACCTGTCAGGCAGGATTTGGCCTTCACTCGCTCCATTAGTCCTTCCTCGGGTTTATAGTACTCTCTTCACTCGCACCTATTTTTGTCTGGCGAAGAAGTAAACGCCAGCTGGGGCTCAAAAGCTTAAAAGAATAACAGCACTAGAATAGATTGAAAAAAAATAACCTTGTTGAACTTAAAAACTATTACTGTTAATTAAATTATATTTATGTGAGTTAAGCACTTACAATGTTCATTCCTTTAACGTACAATATTTCGTTTCTGGACATTATTACTGCTATTTTTGTTATATTTTTTACTAATATTATTACTATCAAAAAGAAATGTCAACTGTCAAAATTTGTAGGCGAATGAACTCGAGTAGGTGAAGTTTCTTGACAGCTCGACTGACATAACATCAAACATTTCTTTAGGTGTTTCAGAGTCAAAATAATATTCTGTAATTATTATTGTTTGATTACATTACGTATACAGTACATATCCTCATAGTTGAAAACCTAAATACCACTATGGCCAACTATGAAAGTTACTTTAGGTTCGGTCTACAATTAATGAACCAAGTTTTCACATGACACCTCAGCCTTAAGAATTCTGTCTCCTTCGCACAGTTTGCCAGTATTTAAGTAAATATTGCTATAGTAGAAAACAAAGTAAAACTAAACATTTGTTATGTAAACAACTGAATTTGTTTTTTTGTCGCTAAATACTTATAAATAGTTTATTTGGAGTTATCAAAATATTTTGTATTGCAGTAAGTTGGTTAAATTAATTCAAATAAATAGATATTTTTTTTTTATTTTGAAAGATTGTTTTTTTTCTAATACCTCACCTAAAACAACGATATGTATTGTACATTTCGTTGATTTGAATATATGTTAGTTAAAGGAAGTGCATTTCTGGATGCTATTCCTTACTTATTCTACTAACTGTTCCGAATGAGAACATCACAAGAAGAAACGAATGAGGAAGGAGGAGAAAGTTGCGTGTTTTTTCGTATACATATTTTACATCTATAGAGTTATCAGTAACATCCATACATATAAATAAAATTGGAGTATCTGTTTGTAATATTGAAATAACCGTTTTTTACTTGCATATGAATATAAATACGGTATATACACTAAAATAACATTTTTAACCATTTTTGTCTGTCTGTCTGTCGGTCTGTTTGTTCCGGCTAATCTCTCAAATGGCTGGACCGATTTTGACGGGAGTTTTTTGGCAGATAATAGTTATAGTTATAGGCTGATGTAATAAGGAATAACTTAAGCTACTTTTATTTTAGACAAAAATCTTTTAAATTTGAAAATATAAAGTAATATTCCACGCGGACGAAGTCGCGGGAAAAGCTAGTTTTAAACAAAATCAACTATAAACTGTGCTGAACAATGTTGCTTTCCCGCCGTTTTACTTAAATCAGCACGCTGCCTTCTGGCTGGCACCGAGCAGCGGGCAATTCGAAATTTGATAAAAAAGCAAATGGTGCGGTTATAGAATTTCACTATTTGCATTAACTCTTTTATGAGCTGCTTTATATACATAAAACCGGTGAAACTAGATCCACTTTACGGGTAAGTATGTTGAAAAGTTATATACAAGTTTTTTCTCATATATCTTCGATGTACATTTGGTGGATCAGATTACTTACATTTTTCTAATATATATAGATACACTTTGGCAAATCTGTCACCGTCCAATACCATAATGAATACACGGCGTAGCTAGTATCTAATATTAGCAGCGATTTATTGGACCGCTTTTGGACATGCCATTTCTTTCAAATGTCTTGTATTCTGTCTCGCAAAATGTTTTGTATTGTGTGCGACCACTGAGTTTGAGCACTGTAGTGTTTCAGTCAAGTCTAGATCGCTTGCGATCAACTTATTTTTTTCTAGGTGATGATGATATAGTGATAATGCTGGATCTAACAATTAACATCAACATAACATGTAAAGGATTGATAATGAAGGAAACCCATTATAGCATATTCATTATAAATTAATTGTCTTAACAGGATATATTTTTAGTGATAGGACAACTAAACCTGGTTATTTATGGGGCTTAGTAGTGTTATGGCTAATGATGTATCCCATTCAGATCGACCTCCACACACCCCCTACCTCTTGGAAGTCCTCGTAACTAATTCTGGTGAATTCGCTACGATAAGTTAGATAGACATTTCTGATCTATTCTCATTCTATTTACACTCATTGCACTGCCACTATATAATCTTATTTTATACCTGGCATTTAAGTTTCGATTTTGATTTCCTAGCTTTATTACGTTAGGGAATTCATATTCCCTAGTACATATATGTCCTAGTGTCTGCCTAGTACATATATGTCCTAGTGTCATCACTAGGACATATATGTACTAGGCAGACCAGACTTTTTAAAATTTTCAGGTAGAGTAGACTCTGCTGAACAATTTAGAAAAATAACATTGAATTATATTTTTGTATAATTTATGCTATGCTTATGTATGTAGCACATTATAGTAATATTTATTCATAATTGTTATTTAAATACAGATATAAAATACTGATTGCAACAATAAACTGAAAACGCAATGGGACTTGGCATTTTTGTACATTTACGATTTTTTGAGGATATTTCCTAACAGCAATATGTGGGGTCGAGGAACGGTAAAAAGCTTTTAAGGAGATTGTATCAGTCGGTCTCTCGCATCTTTATGGGTGGTTTTTTTTATGACATAAATATCGTTGGATTGCCTTCGGAATCAGAGCCGATAAGTGTTTCGCTTCGAGTATGTATGCGCGCCGAGTGGCGTAATGACGTAATGTGTGCTCATTCATAAGTAAGAACATCATAAAACGCTTTCGATATTAGAAAAATCGTAGATAATCTATGTATTTATATCATTTATCTAGTACTCTATTCAATAGTATGTAACACAAGTTTAGCATTAGACTAGACAGCGCAGAGTGACTTGTTCTGGGATATTACTGTTTATACTTTATTGAACACTAACTCTTGTATAAAAAACTAACTTAAAGGTATAATCGGAAAGCGTTGTGATTTAATAGCGAGATATTGACAAATTTACTAGTAAATTTGTCAATATATCGCTATTAAATCAATGTCAATCTATACAATTACTATACAAGAGAGATATATTTACGTATAATATACTATAAATATAAAGTAAACAAAACTATTGTATACAATATACAAATTCTCACAGATGGTTGTTGGAGAAGCGTGTGGAAAATTTTACAAAAGACCTAGAAAATTATAGGAGTGATAAAGGGGTATGGGAGATTCTTACTCACTAAAAATGTGTATGTAAGAGCATTGCCGGAGTCGTGAGATCGCGTTAGCATTCTACCGCGACTTCGGCGGTGTAGGTGTAGGGTAGGCTCCATCTCGTTGTAACCACATGCTCCCCATTAGGAATATGTTGAAGTGACCACTATTATTATCCTATTATCCTCCATTAGTAGAACTATTACAGTAAGCATAGGCGGGTATATTATATATTCATCCATTAAAAAATCGATTAATGAAAAAAAGGAAGGAAATCACATAAAATAGAATAGAAATAATGTTTATTCAAATAAACTTAATATAAGCACTTTTGATTAGCTTTTCTACAGCTCATTCGGAACGCAGACTCATCACAAGAAGAATGAGCAAGAAACTTGCGTGATGCTCTTTTGAATAAATGTTGTTTTAAATTTAATAAATACACGTTATAACAAGTAGGAGGCATACGATAATCAACATAGACACCGATACGCACTCATTCTTTGTACAATCAAATAATATTGTCAGCACTATGAATTTCAAGATTTTTCTATAACAATATTATTATCATTTACATTATCATACTTGTTTAAATCTAACCAACTGCTTGTAACATTGCTGTTGTAACGGCCAGGCAAATTGATTACATGTGCTGTCAAATTGTTTTACAATATTGACAGCTAGACTGACATAGAGGAAAGGTGTGAATAATAAATCAGTTGTTATTACTAACTGCTATTTGATTGACACGCCCCCGCGCCTTAATATAAAATCAACTGTCGGATGCATATTAATAAAACATCTTCTATACTGACTCCAGAATGTTTAGGGCTGTAGTCACTTTAGTATATACATAATTACAAAGTTAAAATTTTAAAGTAACATTACAATAAAAATAAAAACTTAAAAATTATCATGCATGTCTCAGAAATTTAAACTAGCTGACAGGCAGAGTATCGCACGTTACTGAGAAAAACAGGATAATTATTCATAAAACAATATTAAAACTAATGTGGACATACGGCATTGAGTTATGGGCGTCAGCAAAGTACTGATTGTTAATACTCATACTGATATCACAGATAACATATGCTAATATTAATATCGCATACAGCTATGATGGGCTCGTCTTCCTTGTCTTTCTTCATTTAATGTTAGACATAGACACCTATATATTTTACATTGTAAATAAACTGACTTCCCCTTAAACTTAAGGGCAAAATTTACAAGACCATGATATTTTGTATATCAGAGTTAAAGGCGACGGATGAGAGACGACTGTATGCAACTGAAATGCGAATGTTGAGATGGATGTGTGGTTTAGACAAGATAAAGAATGAATATATATGAAAGTGGCACCGATGTCAGAGAAGTTAAAGAGTAATCGTCTATCGTGGTATGGGCATGTAATGCGTAGGAATGAAGATCATATCCTAAGGACGGTGTTACATATGAATGTGGATGGTTATAAGGGTAGGAAGACCGAAAAAGAGATGGATGGACTGTGTGAAAGATGATATGGTGAGAAAGGGAGTAAATAACGGAATGACTGCGAACAGAGATGAATGGAAGAGAAAAACATATTACGCCGACCCCAAATAAATGGGATAAGGAAGAAGCAGATGATGATGATGATGTAAATAAACTGACTTTTAAAAAAATAAAATAATATATTCAATTGAGTTTCTTGCCAGTTTTTCTCAATAGGATCTATATACTGAATTGGACGGCAGGGAAAAAATTTAAATTATAATGTAAAAAATTTAGCGTTTTTAAGGGGCTAAGATATTCTACATGAATAAATGATTTTTGAATTTGAATTTTATTTCCTACTGTGGCCGTGAATTATTGTACATCTGTGACGCATTAAGTTTCCGCGGGAAAATAAAAAAACTACAAAAATTGTGTTTTCTGCAGTAATACTAATTAATTGTTGTGCTCTTCATTATTAATTATATTATACTATTATTTATACTATTTAATTTTTATGCAATTTACTTTTATTATAATAAAATACCTAAATAGATAAACCTGAATATAAATATAGCCCCTAGTAATATAGTTAACACTG